TCCGCAAGACAAAATAAGTGCACTTCTTTTCACGAAGAAATTAGTGTCAACCAATGGTGCTATAACAACTTCACATTACAGGCAAATGTAGTAACAAATGTCACAATCAAAGCTTGTTGGTTGTGTTAAAAGTTTGTTGATTTTCACCCTATTTTCCAGAGTTATCAAATACCTCCTAAAGAATTAAACACTAATTTATACAAATGAGAGGACAGCTCACAAAGCTGAAATGGCTGAAGAACGTCCCTCATTTTCCAACTCTCTAATCCTAAAATCATGACAACAGATTTAGTTATGTAACTCTTCAGGCTGCTAGCTTAGCTTTCACTGTATTATCTACTGTGTACTTCACTGGAGATTGTTCAGAGAAGATTTACTGGAATGAGCAGCTTGTCTTACGACATTAAGTTGAGACAGACTGGGCCTATTCCAAGTCGAATTGAGAAGAGTGAGGGGTGACTTGATTCAAGTGTTTAAGATCCCAAATAGTCTTGAAAAGATGGACATGAAAATGAGGTTTCCTCTTGTGGGTCAGTCCACGACTAGGGAACTATGTTTAAAATGAGGGGCCAATTTTTTTTTTTTTTTTTTAAAAGACAGACTTGACGAGAAACGTTTTCTCAGAGGGTTGTGCGACTTTGGAACTCTGCCTCTGAAGTCAGGTCATTAAATATATTCATGGCGAAGAGTGATTCCTTTGCCTTACAAGAATGTAAGGTTTTTGATATCAGATCAGAATATGAAATTCAAAACACAAACAGATCAGCCATGATGGTATTGAATGGTAGAGAAGCCTCAAAGGAATACACGGTCCACTTCTATTCCTGTCTCATATGTTCCTGTGTAGAGTTGAAGAAACTTGATTTCAGACCCAACTCTAAATTCCTTCTATTGGTCAGTCATTCTCAAACTTGTCAAATCACTAATACCAGCGATATTTTCTATCATCTTTCGAATCAAAATGAAAGGACAAAAGCAAACATGAGCTGCAGGCATGCCAAGGAGAAAAGTCATTTACAATATCACATCAGCTGAAATAGACAGGAGATAGTGTCAGAACACCTGGCTCAAGAACTGCCCAGAAGGTAAGATACTCAGAGCAATTCCATTGCATCCATTCACACATGGGTCAAAAGCACAAATTTCAAAGAAATGTCAAAACCTTCATAAGGATCTGCTTCACTGACTTAAGTGCAGAGAAAGCAGATGTACAGCTGCAACCAAAATCATTATTCATCATGAAAAACTACATCACAACTTTTAAACCAAGAACAGCCACCAAGAGAGAACGACAAGAACAACAAAATGTCAGGGTCATTATTCAGATCAACAGTCCGCCCACCTGTTGTCCTCAAAGCTCAACTAGGGTTTAAGCCATTTGCGAATTGTCAGCCAATACTGATATTTCACTTCAACCCTGCCATCCACAGAAAGAATCATGTCAATGATTGATAGTGAAATGTCCCTATGTTTAGAAGTGCTGAAATTCGATCCATTCAAGGTACCTAAGTAGAATCAGAAAAGTAATTTCTCTCTAATTTATAAGGTAGGATCTCTAATGAATAAAACGTGCCTATAACACAGGTGATCAAAACTAGATTCACTGCATTCTTCTGGAAAGCTAATATCAGGGTGAAACATAGAATTTGTGTTATATTTCAGTTGTATTCTTGCTGTCCGTAGTCTGTCAAAACACTGATGCAATTGACCTGGTCCCAAAACATACATTTGAAAAGACTTAGACAATTACTAGTTTTAAGTAAATTACCATTATAATGTGCAAGTACATCAGAAGCCCCATGTACTTATCATTCCCATTTTTCAACAATATGTCCATCCTCAAAGAGGGGTCACTTCAAACCTAGCAGCTAAGGAATGCTTCCATTCTAAACCATGGTTTCCATTGTCTGTCATCTCAGGAATGCACACTGCAAAGCACGGCAGGGTGGAATGTATCCGCCCATCTGATATCATCAAACTGGCACCATGCAGTGCATACTATGAATCACACTACCCTGTACTATAGGCTTCATTTACCTTTAAAAGGAAATGTTTAACATATTTTTGAATACATTTCTATCTAGTGTTCTGTGACAGGAACTATTTTTATTATACACCTGCCATCTTCTTATAATGCAGGTCCTGAAGGGTGCGCTGCAGAACGTTTTACAGACTATTTACTTTTGCAACTCCATGATTTTAAGGCTAGACACCTTGAAATATTAAGTTACAAAATAAACCTGATTTTGCACAAGAATTCCAGGTCAGTGTATATATCCTGCGTTGCGTAAATATATCAATGAAACATACCTTAACCTTGGTCTAAGTTGTTAATTTTAACCATGGTCAATCATGGAATAGTTATTGCTCAATAAATAAAATGAACCACATCAAAATATCTGAAGTGTGATCATAAAATCAATACTTGCGGGAACTTTGAGCACAGGGATCACAATGACAACTGTCATCAACAAGTGCTAAATACACTCAAATCCAAAAACAGACATTTAAAGATTCCCAGGCGTAGGCTGATCACAGTTATGACAAGCTAAAAACTTTACTGCTGCATTTTGTATAATTGCAATACTTCAGTTAAAGCTGTTGAGCAATCGATTCGTCCCTGCTAAGGTAAAAGACTGTGTTTGTTCAGCTTATTTCAGCATCACGGAGAAATCTAACATTTAGAATCATTTGTTCAAAAGCAAGCCAACATATATCAGACAGCCGTTATCACATAAATCAAAAACTGACAAAGAACATGCTTCAGAAGCACAAGAGGCTGCACAACATCCATTGCACAACTTCACTGCAGATGAACAAAGTGCAATTTCCTGCCAGGAAGATAGAAGATGCTCAATCATAGCACTTTCGTCAATGAAAGAAACAGCAACATGCAACATGACTGTGGCAATCTATTTGTGAAACAACTGAATGCAATATCCTTCATCGATGGACTTCAACGCCTTCACAGTACAGGAAGAAAACCTCTGAACCTCTTAAGCAATACAAACTAAGACCACACAAAGGGTGCAAAAGTTCATAAACCTACACTTGTGGTGCAACAAAGTGGTTTGAGTTGTGGTCACAGAGCTGTCACTCAGCCTGAGAACTCAGCTTTCAGACTCTGCTTACACCCCAAATTCAGTGCAACAGCTTTGAAAGCACAGTTCCACAGCAGCAGTGAAGCTTAGGCAGTAGAAAGGGGTAATTTGGGAAAGAATTCCAGCCCAAATCATAATGGTAATCTCCAGCAATGCTGCAAACTCCCTCACCCTCACGTACAGTGGCAACACATATTCCTTAGTCCCACCCTCAGGCAAAAGACAGCATCTTGTGATCAGAAACGGCACTCCGGCCCAGTCAACGGCAAAGTGACTGACAAGAATTCAGAGCTAACAAGGTGTAGAGCTGGATGAACACAGCAGGCCAAGCACGAAAGCTGACGGTTTGGGCCTAGACCCTTCAGAAGAAGGGTCTAGGCCCGAAACATCAGCTTTCCTCCTCCTCTGATGCTGCTTGGCCTGTGTTCATCCAGCTCCACACCTTGTTATCTCAGATTCTCCAGCATCTGCAGTCCCTACTATCTCTGACAAGAATTCAGCTTTGATTCTGTCAGAGCTGAGCTGTCACTCCCATTCCTATCATTCAACCAAAGCAAGTTAAATATCTCCACAGTTCACACCCTTAGTGACCAAAGGACAGCTAATCTCTACCTTAGGAGAGACGGCTGGGAGGTGGAAATAAAATGGGAAAGGAGCTGTTATAAGTGGTGAGAACAAAAGGAATGGTGTGGACTTGAAACAAGAATTTTGAGGGGAGGCATCAGACTGGTACTTGTATGGAAAAATTAGTGTGTGGATGGGGTGGAAAGAAGATAAAGCAAAGTTAAAAAGGTAATGGTGAGAAGGTGAAAGCAAGTCGAGGGACAGGGGAGGTGAAAAATTGAGACTTACGGAAGTCGTGTTGAGGTGATGGAAGTGGTTACCTGAGGTGTAGTAGGGTGCGAGGAAGGAGAAGGGAGGAGCAATGACGGTGCAGACGGGTTCGGGGTGTAGGAGGAAAACATGACGGAGGGTGGAAGGGGGGGTGGTCAGGACAGAAGAAACTGTGGGCTAGTTATCAGGTAGTGGGGTAGTTTTTTTTGGGGGGGGGGGGGAGACATGGGGTCCAGAGGCAGCGCAGCAACTTGCAGAGGAGACATATGATGGGGGTGAAGGCAAGGGCAGTGGGCTAATTCACCAGGGGGCGTGTTGGAGGTAGGGGTAATGCACCAGGGGCACACGTTAGGGACAGGGTAATGTGCCAGGAGTCATATTGGGGGTGTGGGTAATGCACAGGGTGGGGGCGAGTTGGAGTTGGGAGTAAAGCAGCAGACGGTGCATGTTGGGGATAATG